AAAGGTAAGTTACTTATAAGTCTAAAAACCGAGTTTCTATACCTGATAATCCATTGTGTAACTTTGTGCTTAAAAACAAACCAAAACACAAACATTTAATGTAAATAAATCATTCAGACTGTGGGAATAATGAAATTTCTCGCCTGTGTAAAGTACAACTTGTCTGTTGAGGAGCATAAGCCGCAAATCTGTAGCCTTTGCATTCATTGAAAGCTTTTTTATTTTAGTTGAAATAGTATGAAAACTGTGCATTTTAGAAGTTGGTGATAATAAGAACTGTGAAATTAAATCATCCACACGTTTTTTTTTCACTCTAAAATATATCATCTGTAAACCTGATGTTATTTTTATCTCTTACAATGTAATTGCTGTAGTGCTTCTTTCTTGCCCCTCAGTGGCACAGCGGTATGTCTGCGGACTTACAACGCTAGAATCCGGGTTTCGACACCCGTGGTGGGCAGAGCACAGATAGCCCATTGTGTAGCTTTGTGCTTAATTACAAACAAGCTATCTTTGAGAGATTTGAAGCTGAGCAAGACTGTTTGTTATCATTTAGTTATGGTATTCTATTACTTGTAAACCACAGAACGGTAATAAATTCATTTAATGACTTTTCCTGCGTGTATATATATTTCACTGAAGTATTTGTCTTGGCATTTAGCTTTCTGTTTACAAGAGCTCGACTTTTGTAACTCTAGGCCATCGTTCAACGCTTTGATCGTATTTCGCCCTCGCTCAAAGCTAGAAAGGCTACATCTCATGTTAACTAAATTAGTGTTGTTGATTGTTATTAAGCACACAACTACACAAAGGGCTATACGTGCTCTGCCCATCACGGGTATCGAAACCCGGTTTCTAGCAGTATAAGTCCGCAGACATACCACTGTCCCAAAGGGGGCACTAAATTAGTGTAAAGAGGCCATATATAAGTTTTATGTATAAAATAGTGTCAGATAAATAGTATCTATTTATATTAGTTTTAATACTTCAGACGATTTTTATTGCACTATTTCTTTCAACAAATTGGTCTACCATACGACGATATTAGGCTTATTATAGTATGGTTCAGTTTAATCTTTACATGATGCATGCTAATAGTCTAGTTAAATAGCTATATTATGCATTGGTTTTAATAGTAATCATATTAATAAATCTTGAGTTGATAAAAAATCAAATTTATATTTCAAAATGTATCACTATTGTGCCATCTGTTTGTAACTTGTGTGTATGCTTATGAGTTATTAATGTTTATTAAAAGGTCAAGGGTGGCATAATATTGAGCACCAAGATTTAAGAGTTATAATTCAGTGTTTCATGACTATTTCAGAATTTATTTCTCCGAAAGGGGACCAAAGTCCGCCTGGAGTAGTCACCTGTTTTAACCACTCATATCATTATACAGTAGTGTGTTGTCTGTCAGCAGACACTAAAATGACGTCACATAAGGGACGCTTAACTTGCAGTTTGTACTTTCGTAACGTCTGTGTGCATTCCATGAATCACGAGAAGAATTATGCACTCTGTAGGCTACAACACAGCATGACATATGAACTTCAAAAGCAAGAAATAAAAGTATTTGTTACTCTTAATTTTGGTTTTATTTACTCTTGAAATAGAACACTTCCGGGGACCCTGCGGATGTACATCTTGTATGGATGGTTCCTATGACTTATTTTTTGGGCACGTGGTTTGTGATATTTAAGTCCTGAACTTCAACATACCTCTGCCTTATTGTCTTCCGATTCACTCTGGTAGTTTTGTTTACTGAACCTGCAAGTATTCTGTTAACACTGGTTTTATTAGTGAATACTTCTACTTTATTATCTTTTCACTCTCTTTTGACCTTAAAGCAGTCTTTTTACATTATATTCTCACAGGGACTGCAATCACTTGTTTGGTGTGGGAACTCTGAGTTCTCTATAACTTTACTCATTCTCATGGAAAAATTATTTGTGTCTGGATACCTGACCATATTGATATCCCTGGAAATGAGATAACTGACAAAGGTTGAGAAAGCAGCAATGTCTTTTGAACATTCCTCGATAGCCCTTCTGTTAAGTAAGTTCTAGCTACTCAATAAAAAGTCATATCCTCTTGGTCAGAAAATTGGTTAAATTGATAAGTGGTGTGACATACTGATTTCTTGTTTTCTTCACCATTACTAAAAAATGCACTATTTTAAAGAATAAGCATCGAGATATTATTAAATGGTTATGACTTGGTATCTGTTGTTTAAATAATACTCTTCATAAAATTGGTCATACGACTTCGTAATATTGTTCTTTCTGCGGGACTTGCCTAAAGACCATTTAACACATCTTTCGTTACCTGATTATGCTAAAGACCATCAATATCTAAAACACCATAACTCGAGGTGTCTTTCCTTTTTTATTAACTACCGTGTTGGGAGAAATTCATGTTCTTTTAAATCTTATTCCTACTGATGCTAATGCCGTTCTTCAGTTCCTTAAATTTACCTCATCCCCCTCATATTATGTCGACCTTGCATTTTCAATCTTATTGTAATTACTATGTACATCATTAATAGCTTCATGGATCTCGCCTTCAATCAGATTTTTGTTCTTTAAACCTTATCTCTCGATCATCTTTTAATTTTCTGTCTCTTTCTTTTCTGTTTTCGATCCTGCTTCCAGCCCAGGTTGTCATCTCCAAATTTGAAGTTTATTCAAAGTTCAATTTTATTTTCACTCAAATAATCCCACTCCTGACGCTACTGTTATGTGTTATTCTGGAATATTTGCTAAAAAATAACGCCAAGCCCAGTCCATTTAACGATAACGAATTAGTTTCTTTTACAACGTTTCTATAGGCTTCTATATACAACGCGACATTTCTGGATTATTTCAACATAATGAATTTCCTATATATTGCATCATCATCATTATTAGCGGATTCTTCTAGCAAATGTAAATTCAAATATTACAAATATAGCTTACAAAAATTGTATTCAAAAAGCATTGGAGTACGAACAGACAAAATTTAATTTTCTACAAATTTTATGAAACCATTATTCATTAATTAGTCCAGTCTTTTTCTAAGGTACAGTTTCTAAATTCCTGACAAACTCTAATTTCTGTATAATTAAAATTTTTTCTCATCTATTTAGTTTTTGTAAAAGTGTAATTTTAAATTTAAGTTAAAGAATAGGCATCAGTAACAGATATGGGGGAAAAATCGAATGGCAAAAACACGTGTGTGATGTTCTGGTCTTGAGTTGATAAAATCGAAAGGACAATTGTCTACGAGATGATAATTTTTCTCACACTTCAAATTCCTTTACTTACGTATATTGTGCATTTACTTTATACTACAATTATAGAAAATCACGAAAATGATCAGAAAATCGCTTTTAATCTTGTCTATAAATCACCCAAAAGTGTTACAAATACACTCTTAGGCACTTGTGTAAAATTTTCGACAACAATAAAAATTTTTTTATTGTTTATGGCTTCAATATAAACATGTTTCACTCGTCGCACGACAAATGTTGCATCTTATTATTACTTTTTTAACTTTATGAAATCTGATATTTGTATTTATAGCAAAGATACTACGGCTATCTGCTGCTGTCCCAAATTTTGGACTACTGATCAGAAATAAGTCAGCCTGTCAGTAGCACTCTACTGCCCGCACTATGAGACTGACTGTCACTCTTATACGATATCTACAGTTTAAATTGTTGGGGAAATACTATGTAGTATAAACGGATTCGAACTCGGCTTGCCAGCTTCATAATTCAGAACTCTACCACACAGACAACCCACACCCAGGGGATCTGGTCTTGTGAGCATGTGTATACAGTTTTAATTTCACATGATTTTTTCTTATATCCATTACACTCACTGTTGTCTGTTCATGAGGTGAAGTGTACAATTACTTTCGCATAACTTAGTGAACAATTTCTACGAAAATCTTTTTGTGATCAATTAATTAATTTACTGAAAAAATCTGTAACAATGTAGTTACTGCACAAAAGTTAGTAACATTCAAAATTTCCTTGTAATAGAAAAGCATAATTTGCAAATTTACAGTTTCATTCTTCTAAATACTGTTATTTTCAGCACAAAATAATATTCTTCATTATGCCCTTTTAACACTTCGTTATGTATAGAATTTCAAGGCAAACTACATAGGGATTATCTGCGCCTAATTGTCCCTAATGTTTAACTGACGAATAGAAAAAAGGCAACTGTTCAAAAGTACCCACTAGCAACTGTTGTCTGATAAAATAAGGGAATTTGATCATCATCATAGAATGCGTACACAAACACAACTCTAGAATGCAATGTTTTTGATGCAACAGTTCCCGAAGCTTCTGATTCATAGTCTATAAACGTTAATCACAAGGCCGTTTAACAGTTCTGTAATATTTTCTTGACTTGAAAGATTTTAAGTTGATATCCAACTGGGTTTCCTAAAATTTTTTTTAGAAAATGCACTATTACATGAAAATAGTTTTTCTTTTGCCTTACCATTTTGTAGGCCCCACAGAAATGTGACTATAAAGATCTCATCCGGTATTTGTTACAAAGTTTTTTTTTTCTTCAGAAATATACTAATTTTATTTGCTTAATATTTTTATACCGTTACTTGTTCTCCAATTTGCTCAAAAGATAATCAACTTTTCCCTCTGCATTTTAAGGCAAAAAGTACACATAAAAAAATCAGCTAACAGTTCTACAAATAAAACATTCCAGACAGAAGTTTTCTATATACTTATTGACAATTGTTATTTTATAACTTGCAGTTTAATGATACAACTATATCACCAAAACTACCTCGATATCCAATGTCTTCCTTTCCAAATTTTACCTGCTATATTCAAGGATTATTCCATATGAAATGATTTATATTCTATTTAATTGTTAATTCAGAACATTGTTCGAAAAACTTTAATTTGATGTCAGGCGTATGTGAAGCGTAAGATATTTTAAGTACAATAATGTATACAAACAAAATTATAAGCACAAATCAAGAAGTCAACGTTGCTGAATTCTTTATTTCTAAAAAAATCTTACTAATGACACGAAATATAATTACAAAGACAGGATTTCAGACAAAACATTGTGTATGCCCAACACGTCTATATATACACTGGTTTGCTTTTGGGGTAAAAACCACACATCTATACACAAAGTCTCTCTTGAACAGCTTCTGACATTTTCAGTTCCTGAGTACCAATTATGAACGTCTCAAAATTTTGTTTCAGACCTATTTTATCAACTAGATATAAAAATAACTTCGAGTTTTTCGACAAAAGTAATGAACTGTGGTTGCTCAATACCAGGAGTAAATCTCACAACTGATTTACTTTTTAACAAAAAAAAAGTTGTGTTCACATAACAAGAACAGATGTGCAGATATACTTTTCTATATATATACTTCACCAATCTTCGAAGTCCAAAGAAACAGAAGCAATTTGTACAAAACATCATACAAATATTTAGATCATGAATGGATTCAGTAAACTTTTCTTTGAAAACAGAATATAAGCATAAATATTGCAAGCGTCTATTATCCACATTTCTATAATATCACCTCTGTAAACTGAAGTACAACTAGTCATGAGGAAAAAAACAGAAATCAAGACAAAAATTTATGATGCTTAAAAAATAGGTACACAGTACCATATTTAAAATATAGCACACAAATACGACTATTTTTGCTCTTCAGTTTACCTAAATTACCTGAAAACAGTGAATCAATATAATCATATCACTTTATTCATTTGCAAATCACCAACAAAAACTATAAATTCCTAAACCAAGCAGATACAGCATTTAAAGATTTGTCATTCTGTACTTAAAAGTTAATGTATACAATATTGCACCTTTTCATATATATATTCATGTGTCACTATGATCAGAAAATTGCTTCAGTTTTAACTGTATATTATTTTCAAGTATTTCAAAATAGCACAGAATAATATAAATCATGAACTAGTCAGCTAACATTACTTGAGTCTCATAACCTTGCTACAGGATGCTTTAAAATGTTCCATTGTGTGGAAGATAGCATACATAAATTGTATGTGGATACTATTGCCTTTACCAACTGCTATAAAACCTACAATACAAATTCAATAATTCTGGTTGTAACTAGTTTCTCTATCTTGCCAGACAAGTATTTGTTCACCTGATGTTTTTCTGCATAACTAATTACTTATCAAAGAATAAGGAAACTTGCCTTATTATCTAGCTTTACATGAGCTCTACATTATATTTCAGACACTGTAAGCTGGAGTACAATTACTCACGAGTTCTTGTAAGTTTTTCTTCTTCTTTCATATGTTTTACATAACTTTTTTTTTGTGATTATGGATATGGTACATAACTTAGAAGATGAAAATGTTTTTAGTTAAGAAACTACTTCCATTACAATCCATCTGATTGACCAATGATAGATTACTTGTAAACCAAAGAAGAAATTAAAATAGTCCAGAATTTCTTTGAAGGATCACATTAAAATCCTTCCACTTTTATAAACCAACCTTGGCACACCTTATTGTCACAAACCCATACTTTTATGACAAAATATTTGAATGTTGTACTTATATTATCAACTTACAGTCTACAGATGAAAATTTTAATTCAAAATAAGACTCAAAATCAAAATACCAGATATTACAAGTTTGAAAACAGACCAAATATTTTATCTGAATTCAGCCATAAGAAACCATAGTAACTGTGAGTATTTATTGTGATAACATACATATGCTTTTTTTACCTAGCAATTTCATTAATTTTCTTAGGGATGATTAAAACCTGAACTGTACTTTGAATTGTTCTTAAAGTACAGTATTCATTAACTACTCTGTTCTTAAAACAACAACAACAACAACAAATTCACTGTGAAACTGTTTTTTTTTGTTTTGTTTTTTTCAGAATGCAACCTATTGTTACAAAAACAAAGCAGAGATTTTTCCAAACAGCATATTATAAATCTAGAGAGTGAGGGAAATTGATGGACACAAACTGACTTACAGAAAATTGCTTTTTAAATGAGCATACAGCAGAATCATAGTATTTAACTTTTTTAGTGGTCAAACATTTTCCTATAAAGTACAGAAATTACAGTGTTCAAATAATAAATATTGTTTTTCATATTTTTTTTAATGAACTGTAATACCCGTTTTGGACGGCTTATAGGCTCTGATTTCTTCTTTTGTTTTAGGGTACTTTTGGTACATAACTTACAATTCTGAATTTACAATGATGAAATAGATATGCACAAGAACAAGAAAAACACAACACTGAGGTAGACATCAACAACTTAAAACTACAAAAAATCTTCACAAAAAAAAAACAAAAAACAAACTGATTTGAAGCTATTTACAAGTTGTCATGAAATGTAATGACCATGAAAGACTTATTTTCCTAATTCACTGCATAATATCTAAAATGACAAAAACACTTAACAGTTGTAACCCATTCTGTATAGAACACAATGGTAGCTACATAAGTTTCTTCTGCTATTTATATATATGTATATACTCAAGTTCCATGAAAGAAAAATACACAAATTTCTCATGTTAGTGGTAAAGAATAAAAAAAAATGTTTTAAACTAGAATTAACAGCAAATTATTTAAATTTTTCCTACCTTGCTGATGTAAGTAACTATTAAATGTAACACTCTTCAGTACATCTAAAGATAATTATCATGTTAAATAACACATAATCATGAATACTCTTTTAAGATTTTTGTCTTTCATTAAAGTTTCATTACTTGTAGAGAATATTTGGTCATATGCATGTAAAAGTTTTTGAAGTGCTATTATTTTATAATTTCTTCTCCCACTGAGGTTTTTTTAAACTTGTCTTAATGATGCATTCCTTAAAAAAAAACTGCATTCACTGAATACTTTTGTAATTCTGAAGTATTCCATATAGTACACGAAGTGTATCATATTGGTGTTTTGGTTATATATATATATATATATATGAAATGTTAAGTATTAAATAAGTAACACCTCACAAGTTAACTGTTATAACTGAATTGCTGCAAGAAATATTTTATAGTTTACTCCCCATCAACAACTAAGCCAATGCATGATTTTTTGTATATTTCTCGAAATCAAACTAAAGTCCACTTACTTCATTTTTTAACATATTTGAAAAAAGCATTACACTACATGCAAATCAGCTTACCTGATTGTATATTTCTTTAAAATTGTTCTGAAAGCACATATTATGAACACTGAAACACACAAAATATTCATAGTCCTGATTGCTATTCATAAAAAACTTTATCCAAGAAACAATGAGCTAAGATGGCAACAATTTGAGAATTGCCATGTTTTACTTAAACACAGATACAGGTTTAATAACTTTAACAAATTTAGTAACTTAATCTAAAATTTATTTTTAACACAAGAACAACTAAGAAATTTTTAACACCATTCTAATTAAAGCATTTTCATTACTGCTTGCCTAAACAAGAAAAAATATATACTTTAATACAGAGAAATAACATTTTTAAGTACCAAGCAATTTCCACTGACATATATAATTTCCTATATCGACACACTTAACATCTTTCCTTTCACCTATTTACACACATGAAACTACTATTGTCTTTAATACAAGTGTAGGGTAAATTAAAATCCACTTTGGATAAGTATTATGCTTTACATTAGACATTTTAACAATATGAGAAAATCAAACACCCATCACACAAACTATTGTAATCTCTATAAAATGTTATCCCCACAGTAGTGTTACTTTCTCATAATAATTACCTGATACAAATTACACATAAAAAGTTATAATTTTGAGTCACCAGCATTAATAACTTTTCTTTAATTAAATGTTTCAGCCAAACTATTCAAATCATTATAGTGTATATTGCATTTATATATATTTTTCCAGGAATTCAAAAGCATGAATACAGATTAATACACCTCACATAGATTTCAGTAACATTCACCAAAGTAACTGAATTTAAGTGTGTGTGTGTGTGGAATTTCCATACCATTTCACTTCAGACAATAGCTAATTTTGTTTTAACCATGAACTTACTACAATAACAAACAACTATGGTAATCAGAAGACTTAAAAAGTTGATCACTATGGTGTTTTCTCCCCATGAATACCATGTGACACTAGATCTCATCCATGTCTGGCAAATGATAAACTAATTAGAAAAAGTATTTGTTTGGAAACATTTGGAAAGTTTACATTGTACTTGATGGCTTTTAACATCCAATGGTTTTCCATTTTACACACACATATTAAAAAAGGGGCTTACAAATATTTACTAACATAACTGTTTATACAAATACACAGACTTTCTGTAAAATATCCAGATATTAGATACAAGATAATTTACTTGACAAACAAAAATCAGTAAGTTACATGTCTGAAAATACCATAAAGTTACTGTTTTAATTAAAACCATTTTTCTATCCACATTTAATTCATTTCAAAATCATATTAAGCAGCATAAAAGATGACAAAGTTGAGCTACGTACATATACTAATTTTTTCGTTCTTAAGATCGTACATGCTGTTTGATATAAACATATCATTATTTCAAAATTTACTTTCAAAAGGAAAGTCCATTTTCTTGATGAGGATAAACTGTACAGTCAGGTCAACACATATATTACATGAAACGTAGTCAACCACCGCAATAAACTGACAAATCTGTGCAAGTTGTTGACATTATTAGCATCTACTAACTGGCAATATCACGCAAGAAAGTCACACTCACTCAATGCTAGATATACACAACTTCAAAAAACCATGAGGAATTATTCTATAAAAATTTAGTTTCAAAGAATCTTCGAGAAAAAAACTACAAATGGATGATTCATAATTTTTGTCAATATGTTCAAGAATTAGCTAATTTGTAAAACATAACAAATTTGTACATGTCACCAAGGACAAGAAACTTTACAAGGTTACTAGATTAACATGCTAACTCCTTAATGACAATGATGTGTGTGTGTATGTGTGTGTATATATATATATCATATTATATATATATATATTGGCATGTAATGATCATCTTATGATGAGCAATTCTTTCCCCCAGTGTTAGTGCACTTTTCACGGATTCTTCAACCGAGACACACAAAATTATTTCTTTGGGAAAAATAAATCATGACACAGACATACCTTCACCCAAAGTCAGTTGAAATTCTTGTTCACTTATAGATGAACAACTGATGATTGCTGGCAGGCCTTCAGATTTGAATTCTTTATCGTGTTTACTTTGCACTATGCAAATTGCATTACTTTCCATATTAGCATCTGTTGGAAGGTTGTCATTATGATTACAATTTTTACTTTCATGATCAGCAACCTTTGACTCTTCACTGATATCAATAACTTCAATTTCTTTATGTCTAAGGTCTTCTTTTATGTTTAAGTTTTTTTCTTCACTGCTGATTATTAGTTCCTTTTGCTCATGGATAATATTTGAGACTTCAAAAGAAGAATTAACTCTTTCCTTTTCAAGGCTAGAAACAGCAGAAATGTTTTCATTACTCTGCTGATCAACACACACATCATCCATACTTTCTGTTTCAAGATGAACAATTGTTGGCAATGCTTCATTTCTGGCAGGAGTTGCCTCGCTTCTTAAGGTATAATCACCATCTGTCACTGAATTCTTGGGATAAGTACTTTTATACAAAGAAATATCTGTCAGGTTATTCCCATGTTTTGGCTCTCTGTCTTTACAAATTCCACTAAAATTTGTTACTTTACAACATTTGTCTTCTCTGTTTTTGGTATGTTGAGCTGCAGAAATTTCTAGGTCATCTTCAGCATGTTCCAATTCATCCTCTGGAAGTAATTTTGTTACAAAGCACATTTCTCCTTCTTCAGATATAAGCACTGATGTCTTATCATAATCCGGGTCATTAAACTTTGAGTGAATATCAGGGGAAGCAAGATCCTTATTTTCTCCAGGTATCGGAACAGAAGTTTTCTTTTCATTGCACAGAACTTCCGAAAGAGGGATCTCAAACACCTGTGAAGATGTGGAACTTTTGTGATGGACAAGAGGACTCCCAGTTTTTAATGGTGATGGCTGTGTTGCACTCCAGCCTTGTATAGTTGAACCTTCTTCAGAAATGCCTTTAACATTGGGAAAAGAGTACATACTGCTTTCACTATTTGTATGTGGACGATATGCATACACTGTTTTACCATCTTTGAGTTTCACACGACGAATGACACAGGGTCCAATAAGTTTCTTAGCAGCTTCTGCTACTTTGTTCAGGTCTACCTTTGCAGAAGATGGTCCAGTTCCATCAGATCCTTTTTCTTGTGTAAACCGAAGAACTATCTTACCAATGTTTCCTGCAGCTTCTGATTTTAATTTGTGAAAAAAAAAACAAAAAAAAACCCTATATTATTTGTTGCATGCAAAAATATAACCTGTTAACAGCAACAATACAGATGTAAAATTTCACAAACAACTATTTATTTAGATTAGTTATATATAAAATCATGTTAACAGCAACATTACAGATGTATAATAAACAGTTTAGTTTATTCATACACTAAAGGTAACATACAAAAGTTAACAGATCATTTTATTTATTTGTGGTTAAGCTCAAAACTGCACAATGTGCTATCTGTGCTCTGCCCACTATGGGTATGGAAACCTGACTTCTAGTATTGTAAGTCCACAGACATAACACTAGTGAGCTAACAGATCATATATTATACACTTTAAATTTATTACCCCTGTTATTTCTTTAATCAGGAACAGACAATTATTTTATCTAAATGTTGTAGCTTCCTGCAGAAAAACATGAAGTACTGGTGACTAAATTAAAACCACAAATTATTATGTTTGTTAACTTTCTCTTGAAATTCTATGGATAATGCTTAAACAATTTTGATCCTTTTTTTTTTCTTTATAAATACTAAAAGCCAAGTCTGAGTTTCAAAAACAATTATTTTTTTTCAACATTGTAATACGGTATGTATATATATGTCTATTACAAAAAATATTTGAAGCTAATACAAAATGATTATAAAAGTTATTTTGCAAAAGCAAGAAGATTAAAACTTAAACTGATCAGAAGTTAAATCTATGCAGAATCTACTATAACATTACCACTTGCCAACATTTTAAAGATTTTGTTAACTGACTTCGTCAGGCACAATGATTATCAAGATCGTTAAACTTCGCCAACAGAACTTTTATCTGTTGACATTTTGAGAGGTGTATCAAGATTAGTTTTTAAACAATTTAATATTGTTATATAACAGCCATACAAACAGTACAAAAGAAAATTCCAAGACCTTTTTCCAGGCTCCCTAATCAGATTTCAAAGACTCTTCAAATCTTCCCATGCAGGATTAAACTTATATTTTCTTGACACTTACATTCATCAAGCATGCCCACTTGCAGAAACTGAAGCAGTCTCAGGTCTTGCAAGACAGGAGATTCACTATGATCTACACAACATATAAGCAAGCGCAATTCCAATAACCAAACTCTTTTAATTAAGCCAATTATTTCATGGGAATTGTGTTGAAATTGAAATTTCAGGACCATGAAATATAAAAGCATGCATTTTTCCAGTATCTCTGGTACGGAAATTTGCAAAGCTTATTTTTCATGGCATTTCACAATTTCAATGATCTATGTGTAAACCCTGCAAGATCTATAGGGATTAACTAACTCAAGTTCCTGTTATCCAAGGAGGTTGATAAATCTTTAATGGTGTCAATTTCAGTGTTAATTTGACTAATTGTGTTATTTTGATCTATTTCTTTTCACCAATCAGGTTTTTGTAAAATTTATTAGCTAATTTTCACAAGATTTCACTTGTTTGACAGAATTTCAGTAAAGGAAGGATTAAACTAGAGTTAAATCTTAGGATTTTGTTGATAGTTTATTGCTTTTATATAGTTCACTTAACAGTTGGTAGTACTTTGATTAAAACAGGGGTAAAACATGTAATAAAATCAATAGTATATCAGATATAAAGTCATGTGATTTAGTCTCTAGTAGGATTGGCCAAAGTCACCTGTTACACTAAATCTGTCAAGATAAGCCAATTTTATAATGGGTAAAGAGTTTGGTTATTTAATGCTCAAATCCAGTTATGAGGTATCAAATACTGCTCTGAGACCAGATATAAAAAAGGAAAAATTCAGTGTTAACCATAACCAAGCTACTGAATAAAATCTGACATGTATGCATTATCAAGAAAAGTTGGAAATAAAAGAGTATAGGAATGAACAATCAGGAAGAGACAGCAAATTCTTGTAGTGGCCAGAAAAAGTGAATATTAACATTAAAGTTTAAATTTGTGTATCATAAATTGGAATCCTATTTTTGTAAATATCCATTCCTAAAAACCTTCAGAATGTTACTAAAACAACAACAATTCTAGACAGTATATTGGTCAAAACTCTTAAGCTGATGAAGTGGTTACTGCTAGGGTTAAACATTTGCTTTTTGGATGTGTTATTTGCATAACAAAAGTTTGCTGTATCAAACTACTGTTAAGAAGTTTATGTACTGTTAGTCAGGCAAGACTGGCCCACTGTGAAAAATCTTGGTGGGCCTCCTTGGAAAAGTACATGAAAAAATAGATTAATGTTCTGTTAGCACAATATAGAAATAATTATTTGCCTATTGCCATCACAATAACATTTAAGTTGACACATACATTAATTCTATCAATAATGATGTACATCAAAAAAAGTTTTACATGACAATATTTCTGTTGAAGACATTATCTCCTAACTTGCAAAGAACACCTCTGTTTTAAAAATTACTGCTTGTGTGAACTATACAGGACTAGTGTTGAACATTAAATTACATACTTTTTATTATTTTTATAACAAATTTGATGGGCCCCTCTAGTTTTTTTCATAGTAGAATTTTAGAGTTCAGTCTGCTCCTGCTGTTAGTTACTGAAACCTAAACTTCAATATAAACATACACAGAAACAGTTTAGTGGGTTTGTTGTTTTATTGCAATAACAACAAGGTTAAGCCAATAATGTATATCAAGCTTAAACTAGTAGTATGAATAACTAGCACTCATTGCATGAGCAATGAGATCCTATTCAAGTTTACTCTCAACAATATTAGCTAGAAATATAAGTTACCCAAACTTCCCATATGTTCCACTTTTAAAATACCAAAACGTTTTGAAAACCTTAGGCTACTGTACCACAGAAAGAGATTAGCTAAGTATATAATTTTGATATATAAATAATCTCACCTTTACAATGTGAAGATTCATTTACTGATGTTACTGAGATACCATCAGGGTTTGAGAGCTGGTATATACCAGTATAAGGCTGGGAACCTGGTAAGACTGTTGATATTCCTGAGACAGATGGTACACCCAATCTTACAGTCTCCTGTGTGCTGGTCATCGGTTCCATGGTACTTAAGAAATCACAGTTTTTTTCTGTGATGTTAATGAGATTCAATTGTGCATTCTGGGATGGTACATAGTTGTCTTCTCTTGACCTTGTTTCTTCTTCCAGTTCTTCACAATCATCATCTATGACACTATCTAATAAGGTGATTAAAGATTAATGAACCAGAGAAAGCTTTATGTCATAAAAATGCAAAGGTGTTTTTTTACATTAATTTTCAGACATAATAAAAATAGTATTTGTAATTAATACACCTTTTTAAAAATAGATGTTAAAATAACAGACTACAGTGGAAATACCAAATTCAAGCATAGAAAGCCACATTAAACACAAACTTGTTGGTTATTTAATATACAATTATAACAACAATACTTTTGATAAAATATTTCTGAAACATAAAATGCATATACCTTATTTCTATGAACAATATTAATAATCATGACTTCAAATTTACTTGTTTTCTTTTTGGCAAAGCTACTAAGGCTATTTGCAACCATCCCTAAGTTTAAACAATGAACAAGAGTGAAGGCAACTGTCCAGCAGCACCCACTGCCAATTCTTGAGCAATTTTTTTACCAATGAATAGTGGGATTAACTGGCACATTATAGAGCCCTCACAGCTGAAATGGCAAGCATGTTCCACAATCAACAGATTTGTGAGTCCAACTCCCAAACCACCAGGCCTGCTTTAGATAATTTACTATTCTGAAATCCCTAGTTTATTCTTTAATTGACAAAATAACCTCAATATTCCTGTTTAATGTTTGGGAACTTAGGACTTTACTTAATAAACTTCATATTTCTTTATACATTAATATTTTTCTGCTTACATAAAAGAAAATCTTATATTTCATACTATCAACAGTGTATTTTACATACCTTGATGCTCTCCAATGCTCCCTAAACATACTGACTGCTAATTGTAATTTCTCAGATAATTTTTATTTTGTTTGTGAATGTTATATTACAGTAAATTACAGAACTTGACAATCATACCCAGAAAATAACTGTCTAAACTTAATTACAATATGTCCTTACCAATACCCATTTTCTATTCTATATTTATATGAATGCATTGTATGCCCATTGTAGCAATTTTTGTAGGGAATCTATAAATAGGTGTAGACATTTTAAACTGTAATGACTTTCAAAAAAAGAAAGAAATGCAGAACAGTAAATGTTGGTCTAAAAACTCTAAAGATTAATTTCATTTCACCAGTTTTAGTCTAAACCAAGGCTAAATATTTGTTCATAAACAGTGTCAAAATAGTGAATGTTCAGATTATTCTGTGATGTGCTGAATTTATGTCAGTTGTTCTAAGGCATTGTTATTTTAAGTCTATTATGCACAGACTTAACTGAAAAAGTGCATTAAAATGAGAACACAACAGCTAAGAAAAAGATGATCTGGGTCACTGGATAACCCAACAAAAGTGATGAAAACAAAAACAAAAAACACTGCTGTCTTAATTATTACAGCCTTTTAGTGTAGCTCAAAAGTCTGAATTAAGGACAAGTTAACTTGAACTGCACATACCAAGAACCCCAATATTTTGAAAACTTGTTTGAACTATAGCTAATACAAAATTTAAATTGTAAATACTTGCTGAAAAAGAACAACAAGAAAAAATTATAATGAGTGCCATGTCTCTGAACTGGAAATATAATAATAACATATTTTTCAACAGCATTAACTCTTTCTATATGGGGTTGGTGTATTCTACCGACCTTGTAACCACAAAGTAACCATCAGTTTCCATACTATAACTTTTAATATGATGTACATATCTTCACTAAATATGGCAAATGTTCAATATACATTACAACCTTTTGTACACAGAAAATCAGATTTTTTAATCCTTTCCACATGGGTAAGATTCAGAGCTCATGTCGTCACCTTTTGTAGACTTACGTTAAAAAGTGCATGTCCATAAATTTGGACTCAACTGTAGTTCATAATTGAAATTTTAGTATTATTCATTATTTAATTTCTTAATTTAAAAGTAAATATTAAAAGCAATTGCTAAATACTGATTTTTTTGTAAGCCACATAGTAAATATTAAAAGCAATTGCTAAATATTGATTTTTTGTATGCCACATAGTACATTGTCTTCTGCTTTTGCTCAAATTGTATTGCGGGCATCATAAAATGTAGTCTATAATTTTTAATGAACTAGGAACCCAAATTACCAATACTGACAAGCTAAAATATAAAATCACTCACCACTTCATTTTTTGAAAATACCTGTTTATCTATGCCTAATTCTCTTAAGTACAAGTTTATAACAAATCAAAAGTACTCATTTTGAACTACATAACATAACCCTGTCAGTCTTCCTAAAGTACTTATGTGTGTAAAGAAAACATAACCATTGGAGAATCTGAAGAGCAGTGATCAAAGCAATATTCCGATCACAAATGAGATTTTTTTTAGACATAAACAGGGCTTAGTTAGGAAGCCTGATAAATTACAGTGGATTTTCATGGTATCAGTATAGTAATTTATAAATTTTGTTATTCCAAAATGTGTATATATATATATTTTTTTTTTTACTTTCTTCATATGCAAAATTTGACAAGGCTTAGCAAGTACGATGCACGAGTACAATGAGCTTCATAACATCTTTAATATATATTGTTCATTTACTGTTCTGTGTTTTAAGAAATATTACTGAAATTTTAAAATTTATTTGTAAATAGTAAAAATATATATACATACGTAATGCACGGTAACCAAAATGTCACTGTATTTTACAAAATACTAGTGTGCTACTACAAAGATTAAGAAGAGTAAGACATTTTTCTTTGTAAAGGCCAGTTTTATAGTATTTGATATGGTAATGTGAGCTGCATGAGCGCAACATAATTTACAACTTGTATGGTGGGATTATTAGTTAAAACAAACAAAAAAATTAATAAATATAAATAGATTTAAACTGTTATAAAATTTGAGCTATTTAGAATAAACAATTGTGGTTTCCTGTTACAATTTGCAGTCATTTTAGAATGAAAAAAAAAAGAGTAATTTAGGTTTATTTCCTAATTTTTAAGGCGGTTATGAGATCACTCAAATCAACCAACCCCTTATAGAGTTAGGGTAGAGAAAATAACAGCTAAAATAAAAAGCTGTTCTAAAAAAAATGTTTGACATTTAGGAGGTTAGAAAGATTACACAAATGAAATTGGACAATTTTCAGATGAAGAAAAGTAATTTTAATCTTAAAATTAAAATCACTTTGCATGTTGGATCGTCAACAATCTGAAAGCAAAAACTCATGAGCAAATATTTAATTAAAATACTTTATTAAAAAATCTGATATTTTGTGTACAAAAGCCTTGTAATATTTACCGATATTCTGCATAATTGCATGAAGATACATGTACATTATCAAAAGTTATAGTATGACTAATCTCATGGTTACTTTGGTGGTTATGTAGTAGATGCAATGTACCTAGCTCTTTAATCAAAGAGTTAATTAAGTGTTTTTACCAAAGATTTGTTTGTGAATATTTGAAGTCAGAGTTTTGATAGCTCCGTATGCAAAGTGATTTTCATGTTAAGATTAACCTCCTCTCCACGGACATCTTTATCTATGAATTTCACCAGGTTTTAGTGAGTTATATTCAAAATTTAGTTATTTCGTTTCAAGGTATACCAATAAATATAACATAAATATAGCTAATAGTCCATATTTTAATAGTATGTATGTTTTAAGTTCTTAATTTTATAAGGAATTTTTTAAAATATCTTCAACCTCCCCAAGTATGAGGATTGTGACATTTGCTCTCTAGGTCTCCCCTTCTTCTCTAATTCATTTCCCACCCCTCCAAGATGTATGGAATTTAATGTAAGTTACTCATTATAATATTGTTATTATTCAGGCAAAGCATAATGTTTAATCTTATACGTTTACGGAACCATAAACTAGAAAATCAGATCCACTTGCCACACCCACCAATCACATTCTCTTTCATGGATTGCCACATTTAATACTATATTATTTATAACCAATATAAAACCAAAGTTTCAATCTATCAAATTATGTACTACATTACATTGTTTTCTTTACAGAGAACTGTGTCTTTCACATACAGTTTGAAAGTTTATTCCAACGGGAAAAACATCAATGAGCTTAGCTGAATTTTTATTGTATAGTTAGAAAGCCAGATAAATTATGATAGTTATAAGACATTCTGACTTAAGTTTCATGGACAGTTGTCAGCAAAGTAACTAAAATGCAAAAATTAGGAATTTATTAGGTTTGATAAGATTAGATAGGATAATGAAACAAAATAAAGTAAACATTATTCATTGGTTGATTTCTAGAATGACTGCAAATTCTAAAGGAAACCACAGTTGTTTATACTAAACAGCATAAAGTTTGTAAGAGTATACATCTATTTATATGTAATTTTATTGTTTTATTGTCCTTTGAACTGTCTCTAACTAATAATCCTGCCACACAAGTTGTAACTTACTCAGGAAACATGCAGCTCACATTACCATATCAACATATGTAATGCACGGGCTGCTCGCAAGCGTACCTCACCCCCATACAGTTAGGGTGGTAGAGAAAATAACAGATAAAACATATAGTTTTCCTGAAAAAAAAAAGAGTGATATTTATTTAGGAGGCTTTAGAGATTATGCAAATGAAATTTAACAATTTTCAGATGAAGACAGGTATTTTTAATGTTAGTATGAAAATAACTTTTCACTTGGAGCAACGAACACTTTGAATGAGTTTGACTATATATATTGACAGAGAAATTTTTAGTAACAATATCTGATTAAAAAAACCCGATTTTTTGTGTACAAAAGACTTGTAACATTTACTAATAGTCTGCAAAATTTTGTAAAGGTATGTATGCACTACCAAAAGATATAGTATAACTAATCTCATTGTTACTTTGGCAGTTACAAATTTACATGCAGTGCACCTAGCCCATATAGAAAAAGAGCTAAAACGTTCTACCCTGTCAAAATCATTGTTGTTTGTGGGATATATTTATTAGTAGACTACATATGTCAAATGAATTGTTGCTCCTTCATGAACATTTTGTGTACAGCAACTATGCGTGCTACAGCATACAGGAAGCTTTGACTTGGTTCCATTTTGACTTGTAAAAGTTTCAAATTCTTTTAAACATCTTACCTTTTAATGAATTGTACTCTGCAGCATAACTGGGTTCAAAAGATTGACCTGTATTGCATTTTGAATGAAGATCTGAAATGAAGATATATCAATTATTATATTTTAAATTTTACCCTACCCATAAGACACATACTTTCTATGTATCAATGTAAATTCTTTTTTAAAGTAGAAAATCCAATCTACTTATTCATATTTATTATGTTTGTAAACCAAAATATTGAACAACCTTCTCTTGCTTGAAGATAGTTTCTAAATTATAAAAGATTAAGCTCAGACTGTTTCACACAGGCAAACTCCAACTTAACGATATTGATCATTTTAAACCACCCCCCCCCCCATTGGAGAAATATATTCTATTCTTGTCCTTCACATTGAAAGACTACCAGAGATTATAAAAAATATGAGCTATATTACAGCTTACGTTTTACTGAACTTCTTATCTTGGAAAAAGTTCCTTTGGTGAAACTTCTATAACAAAAATGTATTCAACAATTAGAACCCAATGAACGTGAAACTATGATGACATGGTTCATTATTCTTGCACTATAATTCTACTTACTAATAGAAGTTGTTTAAAACAGTACTCCATAGCTGCAAGTAGATCCAGTTCAGAAGTAAATTTAAAACAATTTTTTGTGATTATTAGAGGGAAAAAACTGAAAGTCAAAGTCAACAAATAAGAGCTAACTGTTAATTCACAGAAACATTCAATCTTAGGGTGACAGACAAACTAGGTTACTCTTATCTGATTGAATACAGCACACCTGTATCATCGAAATTCAGAGCATCTTTTGTGGCATTGAGCCACAAATCATGCACCTTTGTATTCACAGTGTGATCTGATCAATACAAGATATGCATATTATTAGGAAGACTAATTATTTTGGTTTTATTTCAAAATTTAACATCTGTCTGTATGACCACTTCAATTATGAATTGGGTTGGTTCAAATTTCTTTTGTAAACTTGTGATTGAGTAAGAGTAAGGTTACTTGCAACAGTCTGTTTAACTCTGATCAAAAACCATTATGATTTTGATATGTAAAAGAAATACAATATCGGCTTAAGTTGTTTTTTTAATTTTCACCCTAAGGATTGAAGTGTATGGTTCATACATTTCTTTAAAAATATTGAAATAAAATGTTCTGTTCTAGGAATGAATGATTTTGACAAATTTGCATGGACCAATGTTTTTAAGAGAAATTCAGCAATACATCCTGAGGATAATGTTGATATGTCAAAATATGTACAGTTTGTTTTTTGAGACTATTGACGATTTAACCGAACATTGAAAATTGTGTATTTCAATCAAGGTATCACACAAATACCTTAAATTTTAGCCAAACTAATGACTAGTTGTATATAAACTTTCTCACCATAAGTAACCTTGAGAAAATGTGTCAGATATCATGAACAACTGTGCAGCCAGTAGACATTACAAACTCTGGCTAACTTTCTTCAGTGAATACAATGTATACATACACTATGTAACCCATGATATACAAGTAAAGGTAACTTACAAGGCTGACTGAGTTTGAATTTTCCACCAATTACTCTTGTGTCTTTGAGTCCTGCTTCTTCCCGAGCTTTCTGAACCTTTTCAGTTACACACCGAACTATAGATTTCCTCTGGCTAGGAGGCAGGTCTTTAATATAAAGAAAATTGAATGTTTTAACTGTTTCAACATGGAAGACCTGTACACAAAATATAAATTAATTTAAAAGCTTTAAAGTGATATAAATGATAGATTATATGATTCATATACAGCATCTGATAACAGCTATACTAGTTATTTTAAAACCTTTTAATAAACAACAGTTGCTAATTATGTAATACCATCTGAGCCTATGCAACATTTTATTTTTTTTGTGAAATATTTTTACCATCACTAAAACAAAAGGTAGCTGTCAGTCACTTAGTATAACCACATATGATTTTATATATAAAAACGTAAATTAAAAAAATAAACATTGTAAATAGCATTTTTTTTCTAAATAATAACACTGCTCTGTATACTGAAAACTTTGCTGTGATGTTAAACTAGTTTAATTTGTTGCCTTTATCTGAATGTATTACATTTCTTGACACTTGTACACTCCAATGAGAGATGAGGTTGTATTGTCATGACAACAACTGTTTATACACTTTTATAAGCACTTGCAAATCTGAAAAATTCTGAAAAATAAAAATGTTGTGTTCACTATGACAAATTAAAACAGAACATTAGAGGACAAGTTTTTACAAACCTCAGTGTGCATTCTAGATTTAAAATTTTTAGCCATAAGATGTTTTTAAATATTATAAAATATCTTTACAACTTCTTACAATCATATTCGGAGCAAACATATTTTTTTTTACAACAAATTTCAAGCAAAGTTGAAAATTTGATAAGACTGACATTGTTTACCATTACAAATGAAGTATCATGTAGAAACAAAATAAGAGAATGTAGTACATTTTAACCACATAAATTGTGGTTAAAAATAGTGTAAATACTGTTACTTATCATATAATATATGGATCACACAGGAATTTGCTTAAAACCCTAACAGAAAATTTGAGTAAAAACCACCTTAAAAGGAAAACTTATTCTTGAAAGAAAAACTTTCATTTTCAATAGTTAAGATCGCACAAACATTGATAATAAGTGATTTCACAATTGTTAAAAAAAATCAAAATCTGCCCATTTGTTCATATTATTATTAAATATTATTGTTTCACAAGCCTGGGTATCTTGCACCAAAATCTAGACAGTTATACAATATGAAATGCTATGAATGTCCATGTCCTTATTAATACTTGATTTATGTGGTTATAAATACATGATAGGAGCAATGTTGTTATGAGTGGCTGTCATTGTACTTGACGTGTGCTAAATTCGTGTTTACACAAAACCTCAGGCATAAAACCATCTGGCTCAGTAAATAATTAATTTGAGACACACAAAGTTTTATTTATAGCAATGTTTTAGATGTATTTGTTATATTTGAAAAGGTTGCATGTGTCTTACTCCTGGCATATGTTTGCCCATTGCTGTGCATTAACAAAGCCAACATACAATATAATTAAAAATTGAGAATATAACATCAACAAATAGGAATCACAAAAAAAAGTAAGCACACAAGGCTGGAGATCTACTGCTGACAGTTTGCTCAAGTTATAAATCCCTATTATGACTCCACTATAAAATATTGCATGTGATATCTACTGTAGTGTAGATTCACAAAGGAATTTTGCAAAAAACTTAATTTGTTCTCTTTATTTTTGTTGTGCTACGAAATTTTCTTCTGAGTTCTTTACTTTCCGCCATCAAAAAATCTGGTGTTTTTCTAGCATGCACGTTAGTTGGAAACTACAACTTGTGCATTTTGTAGTGCATTAATTGGAAACTGCCACGTGAAGGGTTCCTGATTTTGCTGTTGCATATCATTACTTGCATTTGCTCTCTCCACGTTGATTTCTGTTACTACATTTCAGCAAGCTTTTAACACTGGATTATTACCATAGTAGGTTGCCCTACTCAGACAACAGTGGTGATTCTTTCTATTGTTTCGTATACTCAGCTGAAATTGTGAGTGCTTATTCAGTATTTATTACCACTGCATATAAGACTACTGCTATTCTTAAATAGTTGGTATTAAGGTAGCAGTTGTAAATGCTGTCAATAATTGGCAACTTACACCAAGTGTGTCGCTGTTGTAAATTTTGCATGCATTATTTGTATCGCCTTATTCTAGCAAACACTTGTACACATCAGGCTGTTGAATAACATACATATGTGTCATGTAATGTAGACCTAACAAGGTAAGCATACTGAGTCTGTTTACAATGCATTATTCTGTATTGAATTATCTTAGAAGAAACATTATTCCATTCTGATGAGATTGATTTGTTGCTGCTCAGCTTTTGTTACATTACACTATGACTTTGATGAAAGCCAGTCATTATATATGTGATGATACAATCTTTACCTTCAAGATGGTCTTTTGAGAACAACCTTACACTTTGTTTGATGTAGTTGCATACCAATACATAAAATACATAAAAACTTAAGAAACAAGATTAGTAAACAACTGTTAAGTTCAAAAAGGCAGAATAGGGATTGTAACAAAGTAGAGAAAGAAGTTTAATCAACATGCAAAGATTATATTTTGAAGCCAACAACTAGGGACACAAATGGAGTCAAAACAAGGGTTTGTAGCTTGAGAAAATAATGTAGGTACTATTTCCAGCCTTATTTGTTTATAGCCCCTACTTGGAAGCTTTAAAATATAATCTTTGCATTTTGATTCAACTTGTTTCTATACTTTTTTGATGATCCTTATTCCCACGTTTTGAATTAACAATTTTAAATAATCTTGTTCATATTATATTGTGATAAAACAGTGTTGTTTTAAAACAAAAAAATTTTCCCATAATTTTACAAAATTCTAGGAAGCACTTTCTCTGTTATTTCTTGCTTTTCAGCCCTAAGTAAAAATAAAACATGTTCCAACCTACACAAAGCAATGGAAAAAATAGGTGTTAAAATGAACCATCATATGTATTAGGCCATCAAGAAATTAATGTTGCTTTTTTTAGATGAAAAACCCGAACAACTTATGTATCAAAACAAAACACACATTAAATGAAATGGTCTCCATTGTTATCAATTATGCTTTTCCATCTTACAATCAGGTTGTTAATGCCCTGATTAAAGAAATCACTTGGGTTTGAAGCAAAAAACATATTGATGTCCTTTTTAACACTTTCCACATTTGCATATGCTTTCCCATTAAGATGGTGTTGCAGCGAATGAAAAAGATGGTAATCTGATGGTGTCATATCTGGAGAATATGGTAGGTGAGGGAGAACTTCCCAACCCAACTGCATAATTTTGTGTTACATCAAACGTGCCACATGTGGACGTGCATTGTCATGGAGAAGAACAACACCTTTCCAATTGATGAGTGAAGGGCATTTCTGATGAAGGGCTTGATTTAAACATTCCAGTTGCTGACTACAGATCTTTCCATTGACAGTTCGAAATGAATTACTCCTTTGATGTCCCACCAAATGTCCAGGTTTTGGGGTCAGAAGTGGTTTTTGTCTAGGACTGAGCCATTGTTTTTGGCATTTATTATTCATATAGAAAATCCATTTTTCATTACCGGTGACAATTCTGTCCAAAAATGGTTCATGTGCATTACGTGCCAGAAGAGATGAAGCAACGTTCACACGTTGGAAACGATTATCATCAAAGAATTAGTGGGGCACCTAAACACCTTCTTTAAGGAGTTTTCCCATATTCCTTAGATGTTTATGTATAGTTTCATGTGTTGCCTTGGGTTAGACTCAACAAGCATCTTTAGAACATCAATATCAATTCCAACATGTCAGCCATCACAGTTTTTTAAGGCTAAAATCACCTGAACAAGATTTGCTGAACCATCGTTGACACTTATGAACGTTTGAAACGTTTCCATAAACTTCTTTGATATTCTTTGTGGCTACAGAGACGTTGTTTCCTTTCTTGTATTCAAACAGCATTACATGCCAAATGTGTGTCTCGTCATGTGCCATCACTATAAGGGATTAGGGTATACTAAACTTTACACATTATATAGGCTACACTAACGTGATGTTTAGGCAGTTCATTTAACTATTATACGTGATGTATGTTTTTGGAGGGTGGTTAATGAAAATGTTCCAAAATGTAACAATTTCTTGATGACCTAATACAATCTAAAAAAACCTTTGAAAAGTATTTATCAAAGAAAAGTTACTTACACTTACTCTATGACTCAGAAATCTGCAAATTAAATTGAAAATCCTGATGAAAAAACCTGGTCAGGAAGATCACAGTTGATATGTGATCTTGTTAATCTCCTTGAGTATATTTTAACACAATAAAAGTTTCATGATGGAGTACCCTTTAGCAGTTACATACAAAGCATCTTGTAATTTCTTTATATTGACAAGAATGTTATTTTTTTTAGGTTGTAACAAAAAGTGTTGACTATCTTCTCAATTAAATATAGATGAAGATACCCAACAACTAAATGAAACTAAAACTGAAGAAAATATGATCTAAGCTTTCTTTCTCCTCCAATGAACTACTTATTAATCTTGGTCATCTGGTGACATTTGAATAGAGTGCACAAGTGTAATGAAGGAAACAAACAGATGTACTAAACACAGAGGAATGAAAATGAGGCTTGGGAAACCTGACAACTCACACCAAGTAATGTGAATAATCTCAACCAAACCTATATCCAATAGAAAAGAGAATGACAAAATAGTTCATGAAAAAGCAAAACTGTAGATAAGGCCAGGATGCAAGAAACCACATGAAGAAATATAAACTGGAAGAACAAAACTACTCTAACAAACCTAAAAAAATATTTGGTATGTGAAAGTAAGCATTGGGGAAGCATGACTTCATCATTTAGCACACCTTTAGAATACAAATTCAAAAATTTCAGAATGTTATTGAACTGGAGACGCATCAGTATCAAAAGTGTGCAAGACCAAAAGTAAATAAAACACAACAAGAAGTTCCTGAATGATCTAGAAAAATGAAAATGTGACAAGAACTTAGTAAACACCCAATAAGCCAAATGACACCAAAGGTAAACAACAGTAAAATTCCAAAACATATATCAAAACACCAATAGAAAAAAAAAAAAAAAGGAATAGACATAGTAAGAATATGCAGTAAAAGAGGTAACATACTGTTTTTGTATATATATTGCTTAATGTTATATATAGCTTTACAGCTAGTGAGCCTTTTATTAATTAAATAGTATTTCAAGAATAGGATAGGAAATCATGACACATAATGATGGTAATAAAAGCAGAAAAACTCATGTAAACTATTTTGTTGAGAAACCCAGAGAAATTACCATACTTGAAATGGTAATTATAAAACATGCAATTGATCCTTTTTAAAACTTCATTCTGAATTCCAGCATCTTATAAAAAAAGTAGAAAAGACAAAGCAAAAGCTCAAACAAATCAATTAGACAAAAGGGGTAATGAATTGCAGGATGGACCCATCACTGATTTCTCTCTGTTAAGTAACTACACTTCCTAATGCTACTCATGAAAATGTGAGATCGAATGATTCAATGTATAGGTTATTATTGTTTTGCAAGGATACAGATTATTTAGAACATCTTGGGTTGCAAAACAATGTTAAGTCCGATTAGACAATTACAAAGTCCAAATACTAGGAGATGGATTGTTAAAAGTAAAGATTGGAATAAAAAATTTTACCTCACACTTTAATTCAAAAACCCTCATGAAAGTGCTAAAAAAATAATTCCTTTTCCAATAGAAAATTAGAGTCTGAATGAACAGGAAACTGGTGTCAAAGAAAGATGCAACTCCACAGTAAGAAGCCACTGCCTAGATGCCCTCTCCATCCTTTAAACCATGAAGCAAAAGTATTATCAGATAAAGACTAAGAATGCATAACATTTATAAAGGTGAAAAGGACTAAAAGTAGTATCTTCATACAAATAAAAACAATAGTACTGTCAGTTATGATCAAGAAGAACACATTAAAAAATTAAGCACATACTGACATTTCAGTTAACCGAAGAGAATAGGCTTCAGTTTAAGTAATATTTGAATTAATCTCCTCTCACATCAAAGGCATGTCTATTTTTGAAAGATAATTTATAAATTTTAACAGCTAAAAACACAAAATAACTTGTCAGAGAACAGATAATGTATATCAAGAGGTGAAACCATAAAATATTCTAAATGTGCACCTTTACTTCTTTACTAGATGGAAGTATATATATAGCATATATATAAGCCATGAATGACTTAACATGTAATTAATACAAACAAATTCACTGACAACAAGAAATGCAGCAGCCAAAAAACAATGAAAATCTATATTCAAAGCTAACAGAAGTGCATTTCTACCTGGAAGAGCTAATTTCTTTATATACAGATTTTAGTGTAAGTTGGAACAAAAATGCAAGCTAGAAATTTTATATTACATATCATAATAACTTAATTTGCTTGTCACAGTAACTTAAAAGTTATAAAACTAATGAAATAAATCATGATATCTGATAGCATTTCACAACCAATTACTCTGTTATGGTAGTAGTTATTAAGCCTTATAATAAATTCAACAAACAAGCTTAATATCTAACTTTCAGCTAAAAACAGTGAAATGGACACAAGAAAGATATCTTAATGTAATTTTTGCAAAGCTAGTATATTTTTCTGTAATTCTGCTAATTTCCAAGTACAGATTTTGTAATACAGTTACATGAATATTTCAATAGAGTAGTATATTTCTTTATTTGTAATAATAAAAACCCGAGCATATATAGACATACACCATCAAATATTGGTTAATCTGAGCATTTTTCTTTGAATTAAAGGCTCATTCTGAAGTTGTATAACTTTCACAATTACTTACAACAAAACCAAGAATTAACAAGAGACATTATTAGTACTTCTGGTGAGATTTATTATTATGTCCACTATAGAAACCATATGATTAATATGATTAAAATATTCATATATATAGTTGTAAACACCTCATCTTTCAGTGAAGTTAAAAACTAGTCAAACCCCCACAAATCATGAGAAAACATGCATGCAATTACCTTTAACGAGATTCCAAAACCTAGAGAGTAAAATATCCCGATCTTTCATAAGCTTAGATTTTACCGCAGAAAGATTATTTCCATATTTCTCCAAAACTCCAACATATTGTGTGGCCTGAAATAACAAATGCATAACATTTACACCAAAATAAATAACCCAATGAACCTCATATATTTTATTCTACTTAAGTTTATGTTTCAAATACAAAAATAGTTAAAGTTCACAATGAATTAAATCATCCATTAAAGTATTAAGCATAACCAACACATGGTATATTATATAAAGTGCCAGATAGAGATGGGCAACTTAATCAAAATAACTGATTACCTTCGAGCATCGACTAGTATCACATACACCAATAGATTAATCAAAATTACAACTAAACCAATGTCACAAAAATAATTAGCTAACTGAAATGAGTGTTTCCAATTATTAAAGTTTTAGATCATTTCAACAATCTATAAATCAAAATTACATTTTAGTTCACTGTCATAAAAATAACCGACTAATCCAAATTAGGGTTTCTGATTATTACTATTTAAAAATTATTTCAACTATCCATATAATAAAAATATTGCTATTATGTTTGTTACTAAGTGAATTTTAGTCTAAAAAGTTTTCTTTTTGTTTCTTTCAAGTATGTCAACCTTTGGGCAGGGTGGGTGCTCATGATTCAAGGGTCTTGAGGTTTGATTCATTTTGCCACCAAACCTGCTCACCTTGTCTTTGTTATGGCAAAACTATTAAGGCTATCTGGACTGAGGACTCGATGGAAGAAACTTTTTTCAGTTGTTCAGTAGGATATTCATTACCAGCAACGTAAAGTTCAAAAACAGTGAGTGTAAGATTTATCTCATGCTTCACAAAATAAACAAAATGTAGTAGTAAAGCCACTTTTTCCATAATATTTTGGTTGCTAATTAAAAACAATTCAGAAAGTTTAAGTGATTCTATTTTCTTAAATCCCCTGTACTTGCATCAGTTTGATTTCATGCATTAAAATTCATGTATTAAAGACACTTTATTTTTTGGTAATGTCAACAATGCATTCTTATCACTGGTTTGACTACACTTCCCTATAGTAAAGATATTCTTTTAAGCCATAGGTTTATTTATCATCCATTTCTTTATTTCTGTTCATTAAAAAATGCTTAAAATTACATTGATGACTGGATTCAGTAGTGATAAAACACAAAATTTGTTTCAGTTTATCTACTAAATATTTATATTCTTCCGAATAAATCTGGTTTCTTGGAAAACTTGCTTTCTTGCCTACATAATGGTTATTTACAAATAAATAAGCTAAATGCAATAAAAATCATAAACATCACTTTCAATCGAACAATGCCAGAAACCAAGAAAAGCTGTTTTATTTATTTATTTTGTATTTCACCATTTCTCAATGATTATTACTTCTGAAACTGTTGTCAAGTATCTTAAGAAGAGAGAGGAAACATACGTAGTGACAGTTACAACAGGATTCCATAAAATACTATGAAGATTTCACTGAAGTAGCTATACTGCACATTGTGCAAAATAAAAAATATCACACAGATATGGTCATTTGGCAAGACTTGTAAACTACAAGTTGAAACTTTTGCTTTATTTTTTATTGAGTACTTTAAATTTTGTATCCATCTCCTTTGTGCTAATGAAAAATAGAAGTAGTCACAACTATTAAAAAATGTTTATGCAAATGAAAGGTCTTACAAGAATCAAAACATTTACCAAGGCTCATTTTGCAAATACATTTGTTTTCCTTCTGGCTTATGAAGTTTCAGCTTAAGAATTTCGTAAGGTCAAGAAAAACTTCAGGTGTATATATATATAAAGCACACAAATTTGTGTCTGTTTGTTGTCTAACTACTCCAAGGTCACTAGGCCAATCTCAACCAATCTTTGTGGGATGAGAGTTTGGAACAAGGAGCATGTTAATAGGGAGTTCCCAATCCCCTCCACCCTCATAATTGCTGTTATTGAACATTTATTATCTTTGGCATATATTAACTACATTAATAGATTTATTAAAATTTCTATAACTAACATACAGCGTAGGGGAAGGCACACAAGCATTTTATATATCTCGGACAGTACACTAGCACCCCCTATGGAGGAGTGCAATGAAAAAAATGGCCACCACTATTGCAATAATACACAAACTCAGATGAAATTTCTACTCCAACAGCCACCATGAGGCTGATATGAAGATCTGTTTCTTGAGTTAACCTACTTCCTACTTTGACCCATGGCCTTCCAGTTTTGACCTGTAAGACACTTCTGTGGCCAATAACTGTCAATTAATTAATCATGTGAAACATTATGGAAAAATGGAAAGACATTAAGAGTTGGATGTTGAAAGCGGGTAATCGAAAGCACCCCTATTGCCACTACCTCTTCTTACAAAGTCATCTTGACCCTCACACAGTGTATACCATATTTTAAGTACATACATATTAAGTTCATAAAGCTTATACAAAACTTTTGGTGAAGTGATAATGAATACTGTAATAATATGTTATGTTATAAATACATTGTGTGAAAGTTAAGATTTTTGTATTATTTATCATAGCATCCACCCCCCAGAATTGAAAAGGTTTCTCAGAATCTTTTTTAAAAAAAGTTGATTGTCACAATGACCTCCAGCATAATCTTAATATTATATGATACTTCTAAAAGTCTGCCTATTAGCTGGTAGTACCCAGCACTGGCATATTTTCTTCTTCCCATCCAAATGTATAATATAATTTCATTCTACTTACAAAGATGACAGTGAGGATTTTCTGATACACCTAGATATATATAGAAGTATTACTCAGAAAAACTTAATGTAAAACTGCTTCATATGTTACATCTCTAAGAATAACTTCCACCATAGAAGTTCCTTGCAAAATCAAGACCATTAATGGAACACTACCAACAATATAATGAAACAATCTCTTTAGACTTATTCTGAACACTGTAATCTTTTATTTCCATAAAATCTCTATAAATTACCATGAGAGTGACCTATACAGTTTAAATCAAGAAAAAAGTTTGAAAACATCATTATAGGGCACCAAAAGAAGAAATTTGGTGTTGTAAACAGAAACACTAAACCACTGATAAAAGCTATTGTTGCTAAAAGATCACTGACCTATATCAAAACTGCTGATAAGCTTCCACTAAACATTTGCCACCACTGCCAGAAGAAGTAAATGAAGAATAATCACCAGATCAAAAGAAATTTTACATCAACAAAGTACATCAGAAGCCAAAGAACAATATGTGCTACTATGTCTGTAGAGTCATTTACATAGTCATGAATAATTAACAAATAGGAATTTGTAATCTAACATCAGACAAAAAAATTATTATGAATATAGTAGCATCCTCTAATCAATGTATTATCCACAGTTCCACAGAAATAACAGTTATACAGATAATTATAGTATTTTGGTACTTGTGTATAAAGTTAAAATCATAAATAATATTCAACGTTAAACTGGTACACAATTAAAAAAATTTTATTTAGGCCTATCCTAAATTCAGACCAATGTCATCCTCAGGAGTTGTAACGTCAAAACATGTAGAGTTGTCAACTTTTTGAAGGCCACAGATAGGTCTAAATAAAACGTTTTTAATTGTGTACCAGTTTAACATTGAATATTATTTATGATTTTAAGTTATACAGATAGCTGATTTTCTAGCCTTTCAATGCAATGTTTACTTAAAGAAATTTAAACAATTCTTTCCAGAAACTTATGAAAGCACTTGACATAGCCCCAAAAGTCCAGAGATCTGAGGGATAGAGGCAATAGATGAAATCACAGAAACTTTGATTTTCCGCATTTTGTATTTTAAGAGAAAAAAAAATCTACATTTTTAATTCATTAAAGGTATTGTATTTTTCATAATATAAGATGCACGCTTATTTTGAATACAAAGTTTTGGGGATAAAAAGCTACAGTCGCATTTGAAAGTTTTTATTGAACAAAAATTCAATTTGAAACTTTAAAAATTAGTATATATTGTTCTAAACACAAAAGAGCTCAAAACATCAAAATAAGAAAATAGCGTAATTCAAAAAAGGTTTGCTGTTATTTAATTTGGTTCAAAACCTACAAAATCTTCATTGCTTTCTCTGTAATTTATTTTTTTATTATTTAGGGAGCATTATGAATAGTTGTGTTTTTAAAAGAAAAAAAAAACTACTATTGTTATAAATAACACATTCAATTGAACTAAACTATGCATCCCTATTTAAATATATTTACACATGGCTTGTGTATGTTGTATATATACATATATATATTATTCATACCTTCGATGTGAAGGATGCAAGCAGATTTTGACATCAAATTTTGGGGTAAAAAAGTGCATCTTATACACCAAAATATATGATATGTGCCTAATTTCTTACATTTTTATTGAAATACACTTCTCCAAATTGTAATTTCAAAAGCCATAAGATAAAGAAAATTAAAAAGCCTTCAATTACCATTTTGCTTGTTATTTCCATTTGAAAATATTGACAAATAGTTATCTAGAATGTTTTGTTTTGCTTTTTACAGTTTTATTGTACTGCTGAAGACTATTATTTAGAACCATTAAAAAAACCCGACTAAATGTATAGATGAATAGTTTTTGCATAATTATTTTACATCCCCCTCCTTCCATTAACTCTAAATGTACCTAATGTTAACATTTTCCTTACCTATGCACACAGTTAAGCTAGAATCCCACATTAAAGTGGTAAAGGGGCCAGTGCAAAGATTTACCTAGATGAATTCCGTTCAGAAAGCACCAGAAGGAAACCCATGGAGTGTGACACCTAATGGTAGGGACTCCATGGGTGTAAACCTATGGGGAAACTGCATATCTTCCAGAGTATACTCTATGTCCAGGAAAAAAAAGAGGCTTGTGCCAACGTGTTGCAGGGATGTGCAGAATAAGAACATGGCCATCCAAATAGTTGCATACAAGAGGTCAGAGAGCCAATATGTGTAGTGTGGTTGGGGTGCATTCAGTTGTATCTTGTGCTCACCTCAACTCTACTATCAGACTATTGGACTGAAACTAACTGTGGGAGGAGAGCATAAAATTCATGCCATTGAGTGTGGAATAGTGTGTGTGTG